TTGGTAAAATTTAAGAGAGCTAGTCTTGAGTTCATACAATCAAGAGTGCAGATCTTTACATGGCTGCTTGAAGCTGTTGGCATTTTCATATGATATTGAACTTATATTTATTACTAAACATTTCAGATGATGCTGGCCCCAACCCAACTTGCCTCATTCCTCTGATTTACTGTAAATTTCTACTGTTGTCATCAACTTTACAAGAAATCCATTTAGTTGCTCTGGACGAAGCATTGATTGACTTGATGCAGAAAGTGTTGCGAGAATCTCACCAGCTTTCTGTCAGCCAAGAATCAGTACCTGGTGATCAGGGTCCTAGAAACCGTTCTCCTCCAGATAATGAAAATTTAACTGCAGACACAAGGCAGGATACTTCAACACAAGATAAGCCTCCTGGGTCTGTGGAGAATGGCACAACTCAAGAATCTGCAGAAAACAGTGCCAGTGAGGAGGGTGGTGGTGTTGACGAAAGTTATGTAAACAATATAATGGGGATAGAAGATGTTAAAATTCAACCTTCCACTGACGATCCCAGGGATGAAGTTGATGAGACAGAGTTAGGGGCTGTGGGGGGGCTGTCTCCTGCTACACCAGAATTCACTCAGTACTGTTATTCCTCCAACTCTGATGATGGTTACGAAGATGATGATAAAATTACAAAAACAATGTTTAAAAGAGGAGATTCAACTATAAGCACTGCGAGCCAAGAAGACAATCTAGATTTTGTAAACATTCTGAACTCTGCCAGTGTTAAAAAGGGGATGAAACATTTAGCGCCGATTGTTGACCCTGTTTCTCCTGCTTCGCCTGCAAAAACCTTTGTGTGCTCCATCTGTATGGAGGAGAAAGGACCATTGTTGCTCAAAACACTTGACAAGTGTAGGCACATGTTTTGTAAAGAGTGCATTACAAAACATCTACAGATACAAGGAACATGTCCGATATGCAAGCACCGCTACTCTGATCCTCAAGGCAATCAGCCGGATGGTGTGATGTCATACTTCATTGCTGAAGACACAAACTTGGCTGGCTACGAAAGTGTTGGAACCATTGTTATAGAGTATGACATTCCTGATGGTATACAATCAGTAAGTATTGAATGTTTCATGGGTCTCATTCACCCCTGAAGACCCAT